AGAAAAAGGTGGCTTGGCCAATGGTGGTTAAATGATCTGGATGTGTGTGTGCTGATCTTGTGCTGTTCTTGCTGMCCAAAATAGATTATTCTGTCCTGGGGGTGGGAGGAGGATGGTTGAGGAGAAGGTAAACGACAGGAGCTGCGCTTTGATAGCGGCAAGAACTAAAAATCTGATTGTTGTTATAATAGCTGAGCMTGTAATTAATCATCTGCTATTGATCTGAGCTTGATCTGGATGCAGGACACAAAGGCTGAAGGAATTCTGGGGTTGTTCAGCTGCTCCATCTGATCCAGGAGAGGCTGTGAGTGAACACAGCAGTGCATTGGTGACCTGTGGGATGGGGGAATGCTGCATATCCACAGAGCCAGAGAGCACTGGGATAATGAGACCTAATCCAAATGAGCCTGGTGCTTACAGTCCATGTCCCACAGGGGCTATAAACATCMCAAATATTGATACAGGATCAGGGCACAGCAGCCATTGATTAGTGGTCAAGGCAGCAGCATGTCCTAATTGTCTCTGCTGGTGCTGATTAATTTTATCAGAGAAATSAGCCTTAAAAGAGATTCAGGGTAGAAAGGGGAGCGTGGCAGGTTAAAAAAATAAAAGCCTTTGTGAATTATTAAGCAATATGTATCTACAGACAAAATTTATATATTTAAGAAAATACATATAACTTGTTCTTTGGATGTTTTGTTTCTGTGGACTTTTTTCTGATTGACTTTTTCTGTGTTCAAGTAAAATTTGCTTTTTTCTCCTTTCCAACTGCGATTATATAGATTGAAAACTTTGAATTAACTTTTTGCATCCAACATCATGTTTCTGGCTGTTTCTCTCCAGTGCCACATGTTTCTGCAGGGTGCCACCTTGCATTTCTGGAGGTATTTTTTTTTATAAGACAATGGTGATGATTTGCTGGGATGTTGGAAATGTGAGGGGATTCAGACAGCCTGAAAAGTTTCTAACCAAATCCATTGTAGCAGTGTACAACTACTTTCAGATCAACATCAGTGTATCTCTAGTGCAAAAACATTTATCATCACAGCAGTGGAGAATTTAGCCCTGACTGTAATCTCGGTTCCCTTCAGGAAAATTCTTGTTTGATCTTTTCAAACTAAAACTGAATAAGTAGACTGTGGTTTTCTAAACTTTTAATAGCAGCATAAGGGGAAGGACCACCAACCAATTAGTGTTTTGAAAACACAGAATTCCAGCAAAGTCGCTTCTTATGACAGGTTTCATCTATTGACTGTTTTATGGCAAGATCAATAGTGTTCAGGCTGCAAATTCATCAGCTGAGGCAGGGCAGGCTGCRACATCTCATTTTGAGGAAGATGTTAACAGGAATCTGACTCAGTGCAGAAAGGGTGTCATTCACTGAGTCTGTGGAAAGACCTAAAATCAGACAGCAAAATTCGTATTCGTTAAGGTTTTGATTTAAAGTTGGCGCTGTTGAAAGRAGTCTTTGGGGATATCTTGATGTGTGTTTGCTCTCACTGCTGTTAAATCTGCCCTGCCTTTGGCTTCTTGAGCTGGGAGAAGGATGGGTGGAATGGGAGGTTTGTTTTGGCATTTCAAGGTGCCCTCTCCAAAAAAATGCTGTTAAATCTGCCCTACCTTTGGCTTCTTGAGCTGGGAGAAGGATGGGAGGAATGGGAGGTTTGCTTTGGCATTTCAAGGGCCAGGGGCTGGGCAGGAAAGAAAAATGTCCCTGTCACAGAGATGGGATGGACCTGTACAAAGGGAAATGTCCCAGGAAAGGCTGGATGAGGAGTGCAGCAGCCTGGTCCAGTGGAAAATCTCCCTGCCCATGGCAGGGGAGGTGCAATCAGGTGAACTTTAAGGTCCTTTCCACCTCAAACCATKTTSTGGTGGATCCATTCCCTTTCTCCTGAAATTTCCAATCACAGGAACRAATTWYRCCCCTCCTGGAGATGCTTTTCATTTTCTCTGAACTTTCCTCGTTGTATGGTTTTTCACGGGCACTGCAGCCACACCATCAGCTCTTGCTCCTTGCTGCTCTAATTATCTGTTCATTAGAATCTCCAGTCCTGAGCTGGAAGAGTGGAGGGTGTTTTTGTTTAAAGGGCACTCTCCTAATGCAAATATTACCAGAATTTTCTGCCTTGCCCGTGTCAGCCTGACAAGCTAATAATGGTGTTAGCCTTGGCTAGCCCAGAGCACCAGTGCAAAAAGGTTTCAGGGGACTGGGTATCAATCAAATGTGGGCCATAATGTGCATTTGAGTGTTTTGCTTGTTTTAACACTTCAACCCCCATTAATAAATACCTTCTGAATGCAAAGGGAGTGGGAGTAAAACAGGACCTGTTCTCTATGGCACATTTCATCCACCTGAGGCTTCAGCCTGGTCCTGGATGGGCTCCAGTGAGCAGAATCCCCAGTGCTGAACTTTCCCTTCAGGAGCTGCAGTCTGGTTTGCTGGGTTTAGGGGAAAAGTGTCAGATTGCTCAAAAAGGGCCGTGCTCTGTGTGGGGAGATGCTGGATTTTTTTTGGAGAGGGCACCTTCGATCCCCAGTTCTGCCAGCACAGGGTTACAATGGCTGCAATTTAATTACAGWGCTTCAGCAGTTTAAATATCTGCCTTTAAATTATCCCAAGGGCATCAGGGAGGAATGGCTCTCTTTGGATAAATCTTTGTAAACACTCAAATCCGCTGCTGCCTTTCTGTGCTCTGAGAACACCATTCCTTCCCATTGCCCAAATCCTAGAAATCCACGCTGCTATTCCTGGAGATGTGGCACTGTCACATGAGCAGGAAATTCTGGGATGGGCTCTGTGTGTCACTGCAACAATTGTCAGCCCSTCTCTTTTATTTATGGCAGAGCAGAGCATGTGAATGTACCTTTATCTGGGAAGTTTTGGGCAATTCTAATAAAAGGAGATGTGCATGAATTATCAGAACGCAATGTTCTATTCACTGGAGGGAGAGTTGTTAAAAAAGCCTGCTAAGAGAGGAATGGTTGCTAAGTAAGGAGTGGGTATTAGACCAGCTGACATAATGGAATGAAGAAAAACCAAAAAAACAGGCAAGATTTTGGGCAGACAGAGATCTTCTTTGGATGGGAAACAAATGGCAGACGTTGTGCTAAGAATGGCCTGGGAACAATGGCTCTGAGCTTCATTAAATGTGTTAAATGAGGAGCTGATTCCAGAGGGAAGGGGTGGCTGGGACAGTGGGGAGGGGTGCTGAGGATTGGAGATGACATGGGAATGGGGAGGAAGGCTGCTTGAGGAATGAATTTGAGGTGATCTGAAATGGGGCTGTGACCATCTCCTGTCCTRCTCCGAGGCATGGGCAGACCAAGGAATGGGAAATGTGGGGTAATATTGATCATGGACTCTGCAGGGGAGGAGGGAGTACGTGCAGGGATGTGCACTGGTGGTGGGTTTGGGGTGGTGGAGCTGAGCAGTTTCAGTAAAGCTTWTGAGAAACAGATATTTGTGTTCAGGAAATAACCTCCATCAAGGGCAGGTGCTCCAGTACAAACAGATTCTTTATTCCCATGAAAAAAAAAACCAGAGGACAACCCAAGCTTAGAGCTGTGGGCTTTCTTCTCCTGACTTCCTTTACAGMAGCTGCCTGAACTCCTGAGGGGTGTTTGGCTTGTTTTTAAATCAGCTCTGTTCTTCCTGAAGTGTTCTCATTTGGCAAAGGTTCTCTTTGCCCTGAAGTGATGTTCCAGGCATTCCCTTGGGAGTTGTGGTGCCTTTGGGAGCTCTGGGGGGATGTCCTGTTCTCCATGGAATAATCAGAGTTTTCTGCATGGTGCTGGGATTRTTGTGGAGTGGATTTGATCCAGGCAGGGCTTCTTCCAAGTCTTCATCTCAGCAATAAAATGAATTATGCTCACAATATTTTCCTGTTCTGCACAGGCTGAATTTAATGCTGTTTGTAAACTGCTTGTAGACCTGTGGATAAAAGATGTTGTCTGGTTGGCAAGGCYACCTTGTGTGGTGTTCAGGTGTAACGGGGATCCTCGGAGAGAAAAAGCCCCATAAATCTAAAATGAGATATTAACAACACCCAGTGGGAGTGATGATGACCCAGGGTCACATTCCTGCTTGTGACAAGGGACAGAGGACACAAGTGTGACAATGTGTTAYGTGACCACTCTTCAACTTGGAGAGGGCTCAGACTGAAATTTTGGCAAAGACTCATCTGCTGAGTGTTATTTGTGGTGTCAGAGCAGGTTTAGAAAGCCCCTGTTCCCTCCCTGTGTTTGGGTTGTTGAGGCTTGGGCTTGCAAAGCCCTACCAGCCTGTCTTGGTGATTAAGTTATTGTATTAATGACCTAAAAAAATACTCAAAAAAATCAGTGAATTAATTTCATAATGTTACAGCATGTTCTTGCCTCAAAAGATGACAAAACCCCTCATGTTCTGTGCTTTGTTAGACCCTGCATGTTTGATGCTGTTTTCCATTGTGCAGAATTTCCTGATTTATACCAGGGCAAGGAAATYGGGATAAGGCAGGCAAAATCTCTACAAAACCATCAGCATGTAACCTTCTTTTTGACCCTCCATACCTCCTGCAATCCTGCTATTTCTGTCGCTCTGGCTAGGTAGCAGGATGAAGATGAAGATTACATATCATCCTCCGAAGCAGCGCTTTTATTTTGGTCTTGTTATTTTAGGAATAATCAGCGGGAGAACGAGGATCYTTCCTCTTACGGATTTCATGTGCTTCCCTGAGGGGACTGAGAGAAAGGGGGGCTCTTACAGAATGTGCAATTTCCCCAGCAATGGTTCAGATAAATCTTATCTGCCCTTGAATCTGTGCTCAGTATTTCCTTGACTTGTGTGAGCCTGGATTTCAGTGCGCTGCTGCTTTCCAAGGCTCGGAGTTGCAGCGTGTCCAAACACCACAACAAATCCTCTTTCAAACACAGCGTGGCTTTATGTAGATTTGTTTAGGTGTCTAAATTTTGTGTTAGAAATAAAAATAATCTTTTTTTTTTTTTCCACCCAAAAAAAGGCCGAATGTGTGCCCGGTGTTGGAGCTGGCGCTGGTGGGACACCAAGAGCCGTGCGTTCAGTCCTTCAGTCGGATGGTGAGGATGTGGAAACAAGGCTGCACCAAGAGGAGGTGGTGTGTGAGCTACGAGAGAAGGTGAGCTGTCATCTGTTACTGCAATCTTTCTGCAAGTTCTTTGACTTTTTTGTGAGAGAAGCTGTGAAGTGTTCCATCTGAAGTGTGTGATGTGGTTATGGACACAGCGTCCTCCTGAGACTTGACTTGAAATCTGTTATTACTGAGCCAAAAATGTGACTTTTTAATGTGTTTTGGCTTGCTCATGAGCTTCGTGGCTGCCTTTAGATTCAGAATTTTACATTATCAGAAAATGTTCCTGTCTTGTTCAGGTGAAGCCCAGCTGTCAAGTCGCTGACTYTGAGGAATTGAACTTTTTTCAATTTCTGTCACATGCTTAGAACTGATGGGAGATCTGACTCTCCCAACAGCTCAACTCAAAATTGATCAGGGGAAGAAAAAAATATCTTCACCTTTGACTAGCCTGAGTACAAATTCTTGAAAATAACATGTGGACATGGCATGTAAGAGCTGTTGGATGTTACCAGGATGCAGTTTGCAGAATTTGTGTCGTTTTTGATGAGAACTTATGATAAAGGTTGAAATAAATATGACACATGAGTATAGTGTGCTGCTGATGAGATGGGAACAAGTGAAACAAGAGTTGTGATTGCTCTCTGAACMTTCCTTCCCCCCAGGTCTGGCTACTACACAGTTTACAAGCAGGTGTACAGGATGGAGCACCACACGGTCTATAAGTGCTGCCCCGGCTGGGCCCGGCGGGACGGTGAACCCGGCTGCTTGCACTGTGAGTTGGGGACAAAAAACTGGGACAAACCCACAGGGGACATCCTCAGGACTTGCCTGCTTCTGGATATAGGATTTTGTTTATTCTTGCTTATAWCTGGGATTTCCCCAGTGGTGGGGAAAGCAAAGTCCTTTGAAAATACAAAAGCGCTCATGTGAAAGCACCAAATTGCTCTGATTTTAATCTGAACTGTAGAACAGTTTAGRTTAACAGTCTAAACTCTGACTGGAGTTGTTGCAGCATTTTTGTGGCAGCCTGGCTTTGACAGACCAACCAAATTTGTTGCTGCCACCCAAATTAACCAGAGAAATCTTCTGTGAGGTGCTTGGGTGTCGCACTCSCTGTGGACTCTGACTGGGTTTGGCATTTTCTCTTCTGCTGTTTTTGGAGCAGTTGTGTTTCTGCCCCGTGGTTCTCCATCTGATGAGAACCCATTCTCATCACTGATTTCTGATCATGATTGGMTCTTTTCCTAAAAGATGGGATTTAATTTATTTAATAAGGCAGCACTTCAGCCACTGCTAACAAGATATCAGTAGAGGATGGCAACCTACTCAGAGTTTAGTTTTGTTACAGTTTTGTCAGTAATTGTGTTTTCTGTATGAAAGTTAGCATCTGTTCTTATTTATTTTTTAATCTTCCTACTGACTTGAGGGCTGCATTCAGAGAGCTTGCTTTTATGATTGTCTCTTTGTAGTTAAAAAAGCAAAAACAAGCCTGAGAGGTATTCCTGTTTAGTTTCAGCCTGAATCTACATATTTAGTGTGCACCTGTTTAGTTGTAAGAAGTCAAAAATATGTTTACAATCTGTATTTTAATCTCCAGTGTAAAGAAGTTTAACGTGTGTGAGCACCAATGGCAAAATGAAATTTTCTTCCTGAAACAGCAGTGCAGGCTGGCTTTGAATTCTTTAAGACACCAAAGTGGTTGAATTCCTCTTTTATATTTGATACTCTTTGCAAGTTTGGCTCGAGTGTGTGGAATTTAAGTTATTGTAAATAAAACTGTTCTGTGTTAGAGGAAGGGAAGAATTATAATTCCCCTCCATATATATAATATCTCCCAGTGCTTCAGTGGTTCTTAACCATTGCTGCATTATTGCCTGGCAGTTTTTCTTGTTTTATTTTGGATTCAGGCAGTGCTTTGAGCTCTGTTTTCTGCCTCTGAAGTATCTTCAAGTTAAACTTGAAGTATTTAAACTTCAATTAGTAAGTTAAACTGCAGTATTTAAGTCTTGCCATGTTGATATGAAGAAGTTTAATAAAATAGTTACACCTATGATACCAAGACTTACTGCAGTCTAACCTTTCCACTTATATAAAAATCTGAGTTTCTTCTTATTTGGAAGGTCATTTCACAATAGGGCAATGAGGCAATTCTGGGGGGGTCCTTGGCACAAAATCACCTAAAATATTCTCTTTTTTTTCTCTGTTTGTGTGCTCTAGTGCTCTGCACTGCTGGCACTTGCTTCAATGGAGGGAAATGCTCTGGAGAGGGATCTCAGATGTGCCAATGTCCTGCAGGATTCCAAGGTCCTCGCTGCCAGTACGGTGAGTCCAGTGGAAACTGTCTGCAGTGCTCCTGGGTTTTGGATAAAATTATTATTGAAGCATGAATATTTCAATAATGTTGGCTTAAAGATGCCTCTTGTCGTACTTTACAGTGGTTATTTGGTAATTCTCTGATTTTCCAGAATTTAATAATTTTTTTTGTATTGAATTTTAACAAATCAAGATGATATCCCTGACTCTCAGCAGTGGTGTCCAGTGCAATATYTTCCTGTTGCTTCTCAACCTGCTCGTTCTTGTGGTGCTCTCACCCAATTTCTCATCATTTCCTTTACCTTTGTGAGAGTAAATTCTGAGTCAGAGCAGGTGGGCAGCAGGTGAAGAATGCAGCAAATGAGCAGCTGGATTTTGTTCATAGGTTTTTTTTTTTTTAGTGCATCTCAAAGCAGGAAGGCTTTGTAGCTCGGTATCAAATATTTCATAGTATTCTTGGAATAATATATGCACCAATCTTTCATTTATTTCACTGTGCTCTGGCGTACTTTAGAGTGAATTCTGTGGGACAGACTATCACCCACTCTCAATGAGAATCCTTTCTGTCTCACACACTGGCTCCCCATTTGAGAATCCCACAATGGGCTGCCTTGTAATTTAACACACTGTGTAAATCTCTCCAAAATTATAGAACTGCATCCATTTGGCTTCTTATGGGAGGGAGGAAAGTCATTCCTTCAGAGTAGGCTGTGATTGGGACAAAGGATTTCTTTTGTATTAGGCAAATGATAATTTCCTTTTCAACTGAAGCATATTGTGTTTTGCTCAAAGGAAGGCAGATTTTTAAGTATTTCAGATTTTTTTCTCTTTTAAATTCTAATACGTTCGTGTCCTCACTTGGCATGTCTGTCAGTGCAGTGTGAGTGAGAAGGAATATAACAATAAATAAAATGCAGAACTGTTTGCAGTGGAGCCTGTGCTGGTTCAGTGGAGCTGTGGTTGGGTATTTCTTTACAAATTTGTTTGTGTGGGTGAGTTGAGATGAGCCAGGGTGGCACCAAGGCAGGTTGGTTKTTATTAACTCACACCAGAGCTGCTGTTTCATGGTGAGCAGGACCAGGATCTCTTAATAAACYCAAATAATCAGCTTTTACCAAATGGAATACATCTCAGCAAATCATAAATTATCCTTGGCTGTGTTTTGAGTCTCCTTTAGGTCTGGAACAGAGGCATTCCCAACGGGCAGGTTGTGTGCATAGCACAGGTCAGSTTTTCCAGCTGAAATGGGACTGTGCAGTCTCTATTTCACAGGTTGGTGACTACAAAAACAATGAGAGGTATCCTGCAGTCCTTGGCCTCTGCAGCTGGGTGGAACTTTTATCTTTGCTGGTTTGTCTGCTTTCTATTGATTGCCGAGGTTTGAATGGAATTCCAGCAGTCATCGTTTCCAGGTTTATACAGCAGCTGCTATCACAGCCTGCCAGGAGTAACTTTATAAATTGAATTCTGAAGGGGAAAACCTTCTTTCAGGGAGAATGTTATGGACCATTCACCTGCTTAACAAAAGCGAGGTAATTTAGAGTGTAAGGCCTCTTAAACTGCTGCAGGTGCCTCCAGTCTGATTCTCCTGAGGTTTGTGYTGTATTTGTGTGAGTKAAAGTGAAAAAGAAATGTACAGTGGGACTAACAGCTACAGCCTCTGGTTTTCCTGGCTGGTGTTGGAATATTCTCTGAAAGTAGCTCGGATTTAAGGTGCCTGCACTAATCTTTGATGCATTCTGGGTTTAATGATCATTGTCTCATCTGTACCCTGCTCCCTGCTTGTGTGTGCAACCTCACTGTGAATTTGACTGTTTTCCTTCCAAACTTAACCCAAAAGGATAAGGGATCTCTTCTACCAGCACCTTTTCTTTGAGGATTCAGAGGAATGGATGGATGTCAGGAAAAGCAGTTGTTTTTTGGGGCATGTGCTGTGAAATGTCCATGGTGCTGAGCTGTGGGGCTGTCACAGGGGACATTTGGTGCAGGGGGCAGTGTCCTGAATTTCAACTCATTTGAGCTAAATTGCTTTGTGTATCCCATTTTGTATCTCCTCTCTCCAATCTTTTTCTTCTCTCCTCTGTTTCTGTCATCAGTGTTGGCAGATTCTCCTTCCTGGGTCCTGTGAACTGCAGAAAACGGACAAGGAATTAGGATAAAAATATTAATGAATTTATTCTAAAAAGTAAATGGGAAGAATGTTCAGATCTTTCTTTTCCCATTTGTGGAGTTCATATTTGCCGTTCACTTAAGTAGAGTAGGTCAGTGTCCTGAAATGAAGTTTTGTCCTGCAGRAAGTTTGTGATGGATCATCCAGAATGATTTAGGGCAGTGCAGTGCCTTCCAGAATCTGAGCAGAGATGATTATTCCCAACTGGCATGATAGCATTAATGACTTTTTAAGGAATTGTGGGGTGTTTCTGCAGCCTGGGACTCGAGGTGTACCTGATGAGATGCTGTAACAAACTCAGTGTGATTGTGTTCAAAATCCCAAATTACTGCATCCCTCGTCCACATCACTCCGTGGTTTTATTATTTTACCCACACAGGCAGCAGTGAAAACTCAGAGGAGAGATTTATGAGTGAAATGGTCGAGTTCTTCATCCAGCCAGTGCAGGGACTCCGTAACAGATTGAGCTGTCTCTTGCATTGTCTGCTGCAATTTGTCTTGTAATAATAGACTTATATCAATTACARTGTGAACTTGCAAGCTGGATTTCTTTCTGGTTCTTTGACTTGTCTGGAAGTTGTGATCCCCTTTTTTTTCCCAGTAAAAGGGAGGATAAACCTGTGACAGAGAAGAGAGAAGGTAAAACCCAGCACCAGGAATGAATTGTKCTGCAGTGCTGGTGCCATTGATACTCACTGGTTGTCCTGGTAATCTTGTTCAAGGCTTGGTAGCCACCTGAGCTGGACATGGAAGTAAATGAATTTCATTTGGCTTGTTTAATTCAGCCCTGGGACTTTCACTTGGACAAGGAGCCAGTGAAAACATTCCAAWTTCTCCAAACAAGGGTGTGCTCTGGAGAGCATCCTCTGGGCTGGGAATGGGCTGCAGTCACTCATTCCTGAATTTGGGACTGTGATGCTGAACCCTTTCCTAGTACCTGTTGAGGTTATTACAGTGCTTGTGCTCAGAGCATCCCAAACCCTTCCAAGGAGGAAAATCTGGAAATGTGAGTGTGTTTAGAACAGCAGGCAGMGCCAACAAGGTGTGTTGATGTGCTCCATCCCATCAGGAGTGGCACAGTCAGTTTTTTCACACAGGAAAGGGCAGTGTGAGGCAGTTTTGGGAACTGGAGCTGAAATGTCTTCACTTTGTACAGGGCAGGTTGGTTGTGGCCAGCAAATCATGATTGAAGTAGTCCCTGCTCTAAACTCAGGCAGTTTTGAAACAAATTGGTTTAATTCAGTGAAAATTGGGCAGTGTAGGTTTTAAATTTTAATACAAATACATCTTATTGCACATGCATGAACCCTTGATTTCAATGAAGTGATGTGAGACCCCAGCAAAGATTCATCTCTTTGCTGTGACTCTTTCTTACACTGAATATTTCAGACATTTAAAACTGTTTTTCAAAGGTTGTTCCAGGTGATTTTTTTTATTCTGTGTTAGGAGTGTTCTACTGCCCTTACATAACTCACGTTGGGTGGTTTTGGTTTCAAAGTCCTGCTTCAGTGGTCTGGACAGCTCTGCCCTTGCTAAAACCAGTCTAAAATAAGGATGACCTTTACAAATGTCTCATTTCACATGGAGACATTGCTGTTTTCACTCTGTCAGTGCCCTCAGTGTGCTCCTCCTCTCCTCCCTGGTGCTGTCTGCAGCCCATGGCACCAGGTGAGCTCCAGTAAATGGGRTTTGTGTCCCTGTGTGACCCTCAGGCTGCCAGGGCAGAGCTCTGTCCTGTTGTCACCCTTACTGTCACCTTTATTGTCACCCCTGTCCTTCTCCATCACCTCAGGAGCTGCTGCTGCTGTCACAGCCCCTTTTTGCCTCTGCTGGGGCAGTGAAGCCTCAAAACATCTGCAAATTCAGTTTTGACCCTTCTAGAAGCACAGAAGAAAAAAAAAAAACAACTTTATATCTGTTTCTTACTGAAATTAATTATTAATTATTATGGAGAGGGAACCACAGCAGAGCTGGGACAGCAAACAAACGTGTCAGAAGGAAATGAAAATTGAAATAAGAACTTGAGAGAGAATTCACCCCTCTTGTCTTGGCCATAAAAGGCTTCTTGCTCTGTGCTGGCTGCAGAAGGTAACAGTGAAAAATGACAGGGGCAGAGCTGTTTTTGGGCTGCTGGTGTTGGTTTGGTGCTGGGTCAGGAGATGTCACAGCAGAGCTCCTGTGCAGGGACATTTCTCTCTCCCAACCATTGCCAAAAGGTGAAGGGATAGACTGGGAGTCCCTGGAAACCTYAGGATTCTGTTTGATGACACCTGCTGGTCTCTGTAAAACGTGGTTTTATTTGGATCACAATGAAGTTGATCAATTAATGCAGRTGAATTTGATCAGCCCAAGGTACCTTGGCTGAGCTTTGCCAACATCACTTCATGCTCTGGCTGCTGCAACACTTATATTAATAAAGCACCCAGACAACATGGATTTTTAACTGATTTGTCAGAATACCCAGCACATTATGAAGTCTTTAAGAATATTTTTGCTGTCTTGAGCAGCACTGCAGGGATTGTGACTGACAAAGTCACATTTGGGTGGTTAATTTTTGCTGACCTAAACACTTGGCCACATGGGTATGAACAGATTTTGGCTGTAAAAGGGAAAAAGGGATTCCCCTAGAAATGTGTGGATTGAGCTGTTCAGTCAGGACTATATCACAGACTAGTTTGGTTTGGAAGGGACCTTAGGGAACATCTTTTTTCCATGGACAGGGACATCTTCCACTGGTCCAGGTTGTTCCAAACCTTGTCCTTGAACACTCCCAGAAAGGAGTATCTACAACTTCTCTGGCCTGGTACCTCTAAATCTATTTTAAGACAGGAAAAATGGC